TTTCTCTCTCCACAAAATATGCTCAGTGCACGGAACAACTGAAGGTCAGACCACCCTTTAAAATGTTGTATTTTGATGTCTTTTTCATCTGCGTAACAGTGCTTGACATGAGATGAGATCAATGAAGAAAAAAAGAAAGAATTAATGTACCTATAAAGTTCGAGAAAATATGCTATAAATATAATGTTATTTTGATACCAAATAACGCTTCCAAATTGTAATTTTCTACATACACGCAAACATGAGTTAGTAAAACCATATGTTCACCTTTGAAAATATAGTCAGTTGATCGCGTAAGAAAGAAACACGAAAAGGAAAAATAAGAAAACCAATTATATTCATGCAAACACTTTCACTTTATTTATTTAATCAACAAACTTGTTATTATCTCTTTATATATTGTCTGTGAAGCTGGCAAACATTATCACTTAGTGAAGCTGAAGAAAAGCCAGGAAAATGAACTATATCTTGTTGGAAGCAACACTGTTACAAAATATTAACATAATAAAATAATCACATTTTTATATAATTTAATTGAGAAGAATACAACTCTCAATGTTGACCACCATCGATACTGTCCCCGGACCCCATGTGATGCCACTCAAAACCCAGATCGATACCTCTCTGTCCAATTACTACTGTTAATCTGATCGAAAAATATATGTCTTGATTTCCGATTGAGATGAATTATTTCTTGAAGAGCAACTGATCCGATTTGGAAGGGATATATAAATAGTTGTCGCGGAAGCATTATTAAGGCATTGATGTCTATATAAACTGGCACAAACAACCTGGCGACGCCAACACGTAGAGACGTCATTTGTTTTAAGTCTTAAGGGAATCACAACCAGCGGAATTGACAGTTGCCAAGTCATCCTTCATTATGTTTGGTGAACAACTACTTCAAATAATGATATTTGTTTCGCTGCAAATGTCGGCTGTAAACCCCATTGTGAAATCTAAAATCAATGTTATAAAAATCACGTTCCTGGGGCTGTTGTTGTACCCATTTTTTAGATCCCCTTCTCACTGTTTCTAAATACAACTTCTTCACTATCGTTGTGTTGACTTGGATAACAAGACGATGTTTTTGAACCAAGAACAATACTGTTCTCCGAAAGTTGTATATTTGAGGAAGAAATATGTCAGTATTTTGTATACAGCATTTTATACTATCTAAACAATATTTTTATCATTTGGCTATTTTACGGATATTTTGACCGAATCTTTTAGAAAATATAATCGTTTCTTTTTTAAAATGAGCTTTTTTCATGCTTGAAATTCAGTTGTTGAGTACTGTTGATTAACGAGAAGAAAACACTGACACAGCTGTTAAAATACAACAGTACAGTATAACATCTTTCATCCATATCACAAACTATATCAGATCCTGCTTTCATTTATTGCTGTTGACTTCCTCCAACATCTATCTGTAAAATGAAGTCATTATTTGGAAAGAACGTCAGTTCTGGTCTGTTGATTGAGTGCGTCATTTGCTAATAAACCCATAACGTTGTCTAAATATATACTCATAACGATGGATAATATTCTGAACACACGCTAGTCAAGATTCTGGAAATATAGTTCTTGATGTAATGTTAACTTCAGACACACGGAATTGTCTGTTGACTGCAAACCTTTTCACTTTACAACAAAGCTTTGATATGCCCCAGTGTGGCAAACTGTGACGAATCATTAGGACTGTGTTTGGCTGTAACGGGCACCTGCCAACCAGTCTATTGGGGTGTATTTTCAGACAATCTTCTACCAGTTGTCCCTTGTTTGTTGGTTGACAGATTGGGCGGGTCATGACAAATGAGAACGAAACAGAAGAGTTCCTTGTCGAGGCCCTATGGCCTGATTAGCTGGGACAGGGTCTCTAATTACCAAGTGTCCCCAACGTTAAGTCCGAACGCAAAACGGCCAGCGCCAAAGCTTTATATTGGAGTTGTTTATAGTGTTTTACACAAATCCACCTCTGTTGAATTTTTGACCAATTCCCAGATTATCACCTTCTAAAGCGCTGAATTGTCGGAAGGACGTTTTCGACAGGTGAAAATTAATAATGGATGGCTTGAGTTACTGTGCGCCCGGGGGATCTGGTTGTTGGGGAAAGGGTTTGGGGAGATTATTCCCTTCAAGGGGGGAGGATTTCCGTATCGGTACAGAGGTATAGGAAGAAGATGGCATTTGGTTCTGTGATTTATGGTCCTGGTGTGGCGTTTCACCCCTCTGCGACCATAGAGCCAAAAAACTTCAAACAGGACGTCTCAATGCAGAAGGTATCTTGTCGGGCATGGGAGGGCTAAACTCTCTGTGGGTTTCAAGGATCTCCGATTTCACCTGTATAATGTGTTTCATCTATCATAGGAAAACAGAGCAAAGAAGAAATTTTTTCGAGACTTTATTATGAAAATATCTCGAGGCTAGGTTGTGGTTGGCCTTCCTATATAATAGGTAGATCAAGGCTGTGTACAATATTTTTTCATTTATGCTGGTAGGTCTTAGAAACACGATCTGACACCATTCAAGAAAATGTTATTGAAGGAATTTCTCATGGTAGATTAAGGTGTAGTCCATGATCGCTTCTTCCCTGAGGGTCAATTCTCAACTATATGCATACACAAACTAAAACTAAGGGCTAAAGCATACATAGCTTCATGTCTCAAAGAAGATTTGTTTGCTTATACTTAATATATTTGTCGGTTTTGTTACTGGGACTTTTCTTTTTTGTTCCGTTTCCGGTACAGTATGCATAGCATGAACCACTGGAGTATCAATGCGTCATTTTCATCCCCAGTTACTCCGTCGATATATTTAATTAACATCGTAACTCATCAAAGGCTTTCTCCTCTGAACTAAACGTTTTTACCTGTAATGTTGAGTAATAACATCTCATTCTTTGGTGGCAGATGGACCAATTATAAACAATTCATCCATATTTTTTACAAATTAATCCGTATACATGATTCCTTCTGGTAATAGCAAGCTAGTGAAGTATGAAATAGTTATTGAATTATACACCATTCAGAGTAAGGAGTCATTCCTCAGTCGCCAACTCCCGTAGTTAAATTCAGTTCCGGTCGTAAACCAATCTGTTGTCGTAAACTGTTGACGACCTGTCCTCCAGAGTACTTATCGGGTTATTACACCAATAATGTAAGCTTTACTGACAATATACACCAATCACCCTCAAGCTGTGTCGCCATGTCAGCGGAAGTTGTCGTATTACTCTCTAACCCTATAACAGTGACGCATTTTCTACAGCGGTATTCTCTTAGCCATGTCCCTACGATCGGGTGATATCGCGTCATCTATTTTGTGTTAAAATACAAGATAATTATTTCAGAGATTAAATTTATTGTCGCTGTATAAAATTTTTAGATGACTTCTAACACACGATGCCGTGGGTGTGATTAGGCGTGCAAATGAAGCGATAGGAGGAGACTAGCGGCCCATAAAGTTAACACTAACTTCATCATTTATTTATGTCGTCATCTGGACCGATGCAACGCATGCTGGGATAATGACGTCACACCTTACCACAAGATACATTTTGTGTAAATTATTCAAAATGTGAGTCACATTTTTGTGAAATTGCACATTCTGTAGTTTATGATGACATAGTAAAGTAGTGAAATTGTCGCTCTCGTGGACAGATGGGATATTTTTTAGTCACTGGATAGTAATTACTCATTGCATGTTTTTTTGGTTGTTTTTTAAAAAAAATATTGTATTGAATTTTGAAAAGGTTTCATTGGACAGTTGAGAATTTTCAAATGCGCATGCTCTGCTGTGTGTTCTTCCGTCACATTAAGCTGAGATCATGTGACGCGTTTAATTACCAATAAAATCAAGCTTTCTGCGCTCTGTGCTATTGAACGTCGTTGGTTAAAAGGGTTTGAATTGTGGTCAATATCTCAAGTAATAAAAGAAACAATAGAATGACGCCATAAATGGATGACGTCATCGTGGGTTGCTAAGATCGTGCAAATATGTCGGCAGTCGTAGAGCGACTAGACATTGATTTGAAGATAAAACGCGAGCTAAGCTACATCTCTGATTAACACCCCCCTGCTGTGTTGGAGCTGGGGAAAGGAAAAAGAGGGACCATGATTGATTGGTTAACTTGGTCAAATTGGAACTCCCCACCTCTCAATCAATTGTCAATAATTGATACCTCTCTCAAGGAGAACGGCTCGATTTTGCTCTCCCAATCCACAGACTCCATCTTGAAAATGAAAATATTTGTTTTTTTGAAATATTCTGACATAAAATATTACACCTGAAGGGAGCTTTTCAAAACAGAACAATCGTTCAGTGTTTGGGATTAGGATTTAATGTTATTGCCCCTGTTGCGTTTTAAATTTTTGATTAAATCTGTCTGCCCCCCACCCGGGTTTAATCTTCGAGGTGTCACAGCCCCGGAGCTTTGTCTACAGACATCAGTACTACACCTCCCAGGATATCGGGTCACGTGACACTTATAGGTGATTGATTGTCTTGGAGAAAGAAACTCATATTGATTTCTTTTCTGAAATGCGATTAATTACTTTATGTTTTTCGTTTTAAAACTATATCTAAGTCCCGTTAGTACACAAATCAAACTTATTGTGGCAGGCACTTGCCAGAATTCCTTTGTATAATGTTTGTTTATAAGGGATTCATAAGTCCGCGAGTGAATTATGAGTGTGGAACAGGCAAAACAGTGATAGATATAACGAGCACCTGTACATCCGGGTACGATGACATGCAGTCAACCAAGCCACAGCGCTTGACCTCCCGATCCAATTAACTCGCCTCAGAGGGTTCTCGGAGCCCACCTTCCCCCATCAGCACCACCTCCTGTGTCAGCTATTCAGAACGGAGAAGTAATAGTCTTTAGGTATTAATCACAAAGTGCGTGATACGAATATACTGTGGTATGTTGAAGAGTAAATGTTCGTGTCTGTGAACACCTGGTGTTATTATGTTCTAACAGCCGTCGTTTTCTCTTCCAGGCCTACTCCAGTGTATTGTCAGAGGCCCCTGGTTCTGGATGCTGTGGGGTGCAGGTTTCCTCTTCCCGTGGGGGGCGACTGCAGCAGAGTACCGCCTCTAAAACTGGCGGGAGAGGCCGATGGGGTGGGGAAGACAGCCTCCACGCCCCTTGCATCCCTCCCTTACAGCCTCAGCCTCTTTGATCACATGAGGCGACAACATGCAAGCTGCTACCGTGTTCTAGACAATATCAAGTCGTCGCTAGCTCCCTCACTCACCCAACCCGTTCTAGTTCCAGAACGAACACTTGCCCTGCCATCGAGTGAAATGTTCAACATAAGGACACAAGCATCTCTCCCTGAAAAAATTGCTCCATCAGAAGGATTGCAAGGGATGGTTGGTTCTGTGTCCGATCCCTACACAGCACAATATGGCTACGGCCGCAAAATCTTCCCCTGCCCACAGTGTAGATATACCACAGACAGAAGAAATAACCTGAAAAGACATATGCTGACAATGCATCAGGCGTGTTCAAAACTGTTAGAATGCTGTGGCATTTTGTTTACGACGAAGGCGTCGTTACGGGAGCACGCAATGATATTCCATTACCATGGTTACACGTGTTTCTATTGTGGAAGGAGGTTCTGCAGGAAGGCTCTCTTGAAGCGCCACCTCTCGGTGCACAACGGACAAAAAGACTTCGTGTGTACGATCTGTGATTACGCCACCAGTCATAAAAGTAACCTCGAGCGTCATCGCAAAGTGCACGCGCGACAAGAAGATGGCGGCTGTGAAGGAGAGACATCTAGTGACGACCCAAAGAACCAATCAGGAGACGAGAACATCGTTGACGTCAGCAGTGACGAACTCTCCATCTGTTCCGACGACGAAGAAGAAATAAACGTTCATTCGGTATAAATGCTGCGAGAGCCAAACAACACTTTAGTCATGCAAAGGCACACCGCGGAAATCGACATAAGATCTGCTGATTCCAATCATTTAAACGTTCATGTGTCATCGACTCAGCAGTTGACGTTCACAGGACAGTTAAGGTGTCATCTACGCTTCGCATTCCAAAGATATATGATATATTCTGCTTTCAACAGCAGGCATGCGCAGTATACCGTTACGTATAAACTACACACACGTATTGCATACGTCATACATACGTAATGCTTACGTCATACATACGTGATGTAAGATAGAATCCAAAGATGTCATAGTGTGGTTATGTGTCGTAAGCAGTTTCTGTGACTTTGTGACCCTGGCAGTGGACAATCTCTCCTGATGAGGAAGTGCAATGTGAAGCATTTTGTGCCTTGTACATAATAACGTTTATTTAAGATGATGACGTGTCCGTGACGTCACTGAATGGTGTAAATCCTGAATGCGAGAGTAAACTATCTAAAGATATTGAATGCATCTTGTTATGATTTCATATTCCACGAATTTTTCTGTCACTTAAGAACTCACAACCTGCCGTTTCAGACACATATATATCCAAGCACCCCATGTACTGTCTTCGTACGTTTCACACACACATATATATCCAAGCACCCCATGTACTGTCTTCGTACGTTTCAAACATGTTCACTCGTTAACAACATTATCAAGAATATTGTTTATCGGAATCTGGAACCAGTTCCTACTTCTTACGTCTCTACATGTTTCTGCTTTTTACATTTTTACCAGTTCCTACTTTTTACATTTTTACCAGTCCCTACTTTTTTACATTTCTACCAGATCTTACGTTTACATGTCTACTAGTTCTTACTTTTTACATCTTTACCAGTTCCTACTTTTTACATCTTTACCAGTTCCTACTTTGTACATCTTTACCAGTTCCTACTTTTTACATCTTTACCAGTTCCTACTTTGTACATCTTTACCAGTTCCTACTTTTTACATCTTTACCAGTTCTTACTTTTTACATGTCTACTAGTTCTTACTTTTTACATCTCTACCAGCTCTTACTTTTTGCATCTTTGCCAGCTCCTACTTTTTGCATCTTTACCAGAGCTTACTTTTACATCTCTACCAGTCCTTACTTTTTATATCTCTACCATATCTTACTTTTTACATCACTACCAGTTTCTACTTTTTACATCTTTACCAGATCTTACTTTTTACATGTCTACTAGTTCTTACTTTTTACATCACTTCCAGTTCCTAATTTTTACATCTCTACCAGAGCTTATTTTTTACGTCTTTATCTGTTCCTACTTTTTACATCTCCTTATACTTATAAATATGGACATCTTTACCAGATCTTACTTTTTACATCTCTACCAGTTCTTACTTTTTACATCTCTACCAGTTTCTCCTTTTTACATCTTTATCAGATCTTACTTTTTCATGTCTACCAGGGCGGTGGGGTAGCCTAATGGTTAAAGCGTTGGCTCGGTCAGTCAGTCAGTCAGTCAGTCAGTCATGTCTACCAGTTCTTACTTTTTACATCACTTCCAGTTCCTAATTTTTATATCTCTACCAGATCTTACTTTTTACATATCTACCAGTTCCTACTTTTTTACATCTCTACCAGATGTTACTTTTTACATCTTTAGCAGTTCCTACTTTTTACATCACAACCAGTTCCTACTTTTTACATCACTACCAGTTTCTACTTTTTACATCTGTACTAGATCTTACTGTTTATAAATCTACTAGTTCCTACTTTTTACATCTCTACCAGAGCTTATTTTTTACGTCTTTATCTGTTCCTACTTTTTACATCTCCGTATACTAATAAATATGGACGCTCCTGTGGTGTCAGGATACGATCTCTTGTCTTGTTGGAGAAGGATCCGCTGATTTTGGTTCAAATCCCAGATTGACCATGACCAAGATAGTTATCCAGCCCCATGTGGTAATGATCACAGTGGTAAACGGGTCAGATTGGCACTACTTCGATCTTTCATGTGCCGTAAAACTCGTGAGCTGAGGGGCGTTAAACTCACCTAATGCATTTACTATTTCCCCCTGCAAGGGTATGAATTTGTACTTGCCCATACATCGGATATGACTCTGGTTGTCTGGCTTCATATACCTCGTAGCGAACGTATTGTAAATATCTGTTGACGTAATAACAGAAGAATAGGATTGCATAATTCATTCGACATTTGTAGAGCATGGTGCGATCCTTACCTTCGCAATATTTATTTTGCAGAATTATGTAATATTTACTTTATTGAAATATCTGATAAATATTAAGTATGAAAATATAATATTGACCACAACAAGAGCATGTATATGAATGAAATTTGAGTTTATTCGCGTTAGTTGTCGTATGCCCCATCATCTAGAATTTTAGAAAGAGTATATTTCTAAAAGCATCTACATTTTCAAACGTGCAATTTGCGACTTTTCATCAATAAAAAAACATATTTTGAAATTTTAAATAGTTATTGTCAGATGAAATGGTCGGTTGTTCCATGGGCCATATGTTGGAAACTTTGATATTCTAACAGTTCATTTAACACAAGGAATGGCTCTATACCACAGACTGACAGTCGATGTCAGCAGCTGTTCCTGTTGCAGCGGCGTGGCTGTGCTTACTGTAAAATATACAAGCATGAAGGTTGCGTGAAGGATTTAATATCAGTTACACTCTCTTTAATGACACTGCCGGGCGCGCCATGTGCTGATAATATAGCTTGCAGTGTTCAACTGTGATATGTATAGAGCGGTAAGTACCGCATCAACACTGCCTTTCTGAGGTTTCGTAATATTATGAAAAAGGGTTTTGTAACTTATTATTATTATCATTATTATCATTCATAACTTATTATTATTATTATTGAAGAAATGGTTTTATCGCTCATATGAATTTATTAAACAACCATCGCGTAGAAGTACTTTTGGAAAAAATAGGAATCCTTTCGTAATAAAAACACTTTACAATAGAAATATTGAGATTTGATCCTCAGCAGAGAAGACATAATAATAGTCACATAGATACAGCAATAAAACAATAATGTGGACGTAAAATGGTAGTTCCGTCAGATTGGAGACAAATATAGTAACAGAGCATAAGACTGGACATACGTTAAGGTACCACATGCAAAACGTGCGAGAGAAAGTATACCAAGTGGTGAAAATGTGACCATTTTCCCCAAAACAACGTAAATATTGCTGGTCGTCACTTACAAGTCACAAACATTGTGCACGTGTTTCCCATACACCTCAAACATTTTCCCCAATTGCAACGTTGCGACGTTTCGCTTTTAACGATTCAGTCGATGTTGACGGGTAAATGAGATGCCCCCAAACAGCCCCGATACTAACCAGGATGCTGTCATCATGCTGTCGTCTCGTCACTGTGTCCCTACTGATCCAACGATGATGGTGCTGATGACGTCACTACAAGCATCCGGTTACACAGATGGAAACTGCACAGGTGATCCTCTTGCGGTGGTCGCCCTCGGTCTTCCAGTTCTGGGACTGTCTGGGACTGTCTGGGACTGTGTGGGACTGTCTGGCACTGTCTGGGACTGTCTGGCACTGTCTGGGACTGTCTGGGACTGTCTGGGACTGTCTGGCTAGTCTTGTTGACGGCTCATTAGACTCATGATGGTCTGCTTTGTGCAGTTGAACGTTCCGGCAATATGGCTGTTCGAAGCCCCCATCTGCGACATTCCAATGTATCATTCTCGCTCCGCTGCTGATAATCTGGGTATTTTGATGGATGTCTTCAACAAGTGTACCACTAACAGTCTCAACCGACTGAGTTTTATAGTGTCGGCGCCTAACATTGCACGTGGGGCTGATCTACATTATGGGTTTCAACATATACCAGCACTGTAAAGAACTTCTGTGATGCTTTGGCAACATGTACACAATGTTTGTTCCTTGTGAGTCACAATCAAAACACTTTTCGAAATATTTACGTTGTTGTTGTTGTTGTTGTTGTTTAATACGTATATGTTTATGTAATATATATATTACACTCAACACACTCAACATACAAGAACGTAAATCCAGTGTTTATTTCATCGAACATTTTACATGGGCCATCACAGTGTATACATGTAGAACGCTAGCGTGTTTTACATTGAATATATGGCTGAGATATTGCCCTTGTGATGTAAAATTGTATCTCACTCACGGTACGTAGCAAGTAACTCCATCTTACACATTTTAAATAGTAAGCTACGCCAGTCAGTATTACATTGTACGTGTTAGAAAGGTGGTATCCAGAATGCAAGGCAGCGATAACTCCCGTAGCCCAGGGTAAAAGTCGGAGTTATATGCTTGTTGAATTATGACCATGTGACTAGCACGCTGTGACAATGTAAAAACCCGGGCGTCACGGAGAGATTTGTCCATGTTGGTTCATCAGGAGATGGAGTACCATTGAACAGGATTACAAATTGAATTATTTGAAAACACAATGGAGTAATTTGAGCCCTATCTCAGTACCCCTACAGTCTGGCCTCAAAAACTGAAAACAAACACATAGAAATTAGGTTTGAATGTCAAACTGTAAACAAATTTACCATTGCCTGTGTTATTGTGACAATAATGTAGGCGTTGGAAACATAATTAACCGATAAATACTTACACAAATATACCATCGGAGGATAGTATTAAAATCTACACAGTTGTATGATAGATGACTTTTTTTGATCAACAGGACATATAAAAATCGAGCAAACGCTTTTGCTAAAAAAGTGCATAGGTCTAATTTGTATCATAAAATATTTTAAAAATCTAGAGAATAATTCATGTGTATCAGTTAACACATTATGTCTTCTGTAGAATATATTAAGTTAAAACATTACTCATAATTGTCACCAATAATTTTACTTTTGCGAACACAAAATCGGTGTTTAATTATTCTCACGGTTCCCTAGCGTTGATGTTTTCTATTTTTAATTGAACACGTCATTATGCAAGAAAGAGATGACTTGAGACAATTGTATAATAGTACAAGCCCATCTAAAGAATCCAAACAAAAAACTCAACGAATTTCAGAAAGTCAACCAAACATAAACTTGCTCTGTCTTATATTCAATAATTGCTAAGGTGCCACATTTAATTCGATGCAATACACATAATTTATATGCAAATCTTGCCAGAGATAAAGAAATGTGTGTGTTCGACCAGTAGGAAAACAAATACCCCACTTCTATTTCCGCAGTATGCGTCTATTTAACTACTAAAATAGATATTGATTGTCGTCATAAAGCGTTCTTATGACGTGTGTTTGCTTAACATGTTGCCCATTGCAATGGAAATCAATTGCAATAACAAATACGAAACTAAACACATGACTGAGACAAATATTTGTTTCCCTTTATGAGAAGACGTCCGACTGCGGTTGTGTATATTACAGTGAATACCATGAATAGCGATAAGTCCACAGCACGCTGACCAGGAGTCGGGCACTCGCGGGATAATACAGGGAAAACACT